ATCAATCCCAGGCAGTGTGACTCACACTTCACCCCATAAGCCACTGTGGCATGGGGGCAGCCGTAGGCGAGCAGAGGAGTGGGTGGTTCAGGGAGGTAAAGGGTGTGAAGACTGAGCGATTGGTTTGAAGGCCAAGGGAGAACCAACGAGGAAGCCGAGAGACTTCCATGTTGAGCAACGAGGAAGCCAGTGCGCGTTTGCTGAGCTAGCACCTTCAAGCAAGAAGCAGGTTGCTGGGGACAGTGTGGAATGACCGCCGCAGTTGGGGATACGTTGAGTTTGAGGTGCCCCTTGGACATTCAGGTGGATTTCCAAGCAAGCTACTAATGAGGCTCTGCTGTACTCATGGGAGAGGTCCTGGCGAGAGACAAGAGAGTTGGCTGTTGTTGGAATAATGCTTCATTCTTGCTGCTTGATTGTTTAAAGCTTTAGAAAGGGGCTAGCTATTTACAAATGCCTTGGTTGTATTCTTTATGTTTGACTTGTGTTTAAATTTTAAATCTATGATCACGAGTTATTATATTCACCCCCTTTACCCTTCCCCCTTTACCCTTCATACACACACACACACACACACACACAGAGAGAGAGAGAGAGAGAGAGAGAGAGAGAAAGACAGATGATGGCTATGGATACACTTGAACTAGGTAAAGGAGTTTCCAAGCTAAAGACACAGTTACTGGCCCCAAGCATTCATTGTCTCATACAGAGGAGTAGAGAGAAGTGGCCAGCTTACGCCGTCTCCTCTTTCACCTGATTATTAATCCATCACATTGTACTTTATTCAGGTCTCAGAGACTGTCTTATGACAAGTCTAGGAGTTGAGTTTAAGTCATCCTGGGTGACTTGAACCTCTCTGTCCAAGGACGTGACCGAACATCCGGAGAGACTGATCCGAGCTGGAGTGCGTGGACGGAAGTGTGAATTCAGATAACTCCCGGACACCCTGTGTGAACAGGAGTAGGCTGGGGAGGGGATGGAGGGCAGGGTGCTGGTGGGCTCCAGGGCACAGTTAGCCACGGCTGTGCCACATTTGCCCCATGTCAAGCTTTCTTTCCCGTAGATCCTAAGCTGTCTCCAAGAGCTAGGATCTAATTAGTTTGCATTTGATTTCTTTGCTGCCTAATGAACTACCTCTGTAGTTCTAGCTGTGATGTCATTAGCATCTCATTGCCTTGGGCACCAACTCAGGAGAGAGAGTCTTAAGCAGTCCCAGAATCCTACAGGAATCATACCAATTTCCTTCATAATGACTCATCCACCTCCATGACCTGTCGGTTCCTACCAGCAAAGCAGACCCTGTGTGAGGATGGGTCAGTCGCTTTTATCATCCTCGTATTGTCCCTGAGTCTAGGTGGGTCAGGATGTACATGCCTAAGGCCATGGGCACAGCCACAATGAGATTCTGAACGTTGAGGATGCCAATATTCTCATTCCACAATATTCTATTGGGGAAATTCATCCACTGTGTGCTGTAGGATACAGATTTAGCCTAAAGCAAATGGCATTTATTTATAGCAAACTGTATTTGCAAAATGCTTTGCAGTTTTGGGGTTGTTAACTACATTCCAGGTTGGCTGTTCTTCTACTTAGAAGAAAGCTAAGTGTCATGGCTGGACTCCAAAGCCTCCCTGAGAGCAATGAGATGAATTCTGCAAACAGGAATCAGAGGGGGCCACACCTGGGTGTTCTGGACCAGAAGGCACCTTTGCCTATTATGATCTTTTAAGGAAATAAGGTGGGGTCTCCTCCCTGTGACTCTCCACACACCGGCCTCTCTGCTGCCCACCCCAACACTGAGGGGGGGTTAAAAGCAAATGTCAAAGATCAGACCCTCCTGAAGATTTTAGGGTTTGGACTTCTCTTTCCCTTACCACAGACATGACGGTTATAGGTGCTCTCTTCGGGCAAAGGGAGATTTATCTGAGCTTTCACCATCGGACTCCATCATTTTAAGGAGTATTTCCCAATTGTGTCTTTAACTGCACATGGAAAATGCATTTCCTCTTTGAAAAATCTCTCTCACAGACACATCTCTATTCTTTGCTGGAGCCTGAATAGATGGCTTTGGGAGTTCCCTGCTCATCACCTCGGTATAAATCCAGCTCCTCTCTAGACAGCTCCGTCCTGCATGACGAAGGGACTGGAGGGGCCTTTCAGCAGGCCCGCTTTCTAAGGACCTGAATATTTTCAGGAGAAGGAAAACAGGATTCTGGATTAAAACGAGAGTTTGGAGGTCTGCCACCATTTCTTTTGCATCCTCCTCTCCATGCCTCTCTTCTCCCTAACCTTGCACCTATCCGGGGCTGGAGGTTATTGAGCAGGATTCACTGAGTCTTGATTTTAATGGGGATAGTCAGAAGACTGCCGCCAGGGAACAGCCCCTCAAATGTTTACAGCAATTACAAGCCTTAATGAGGGAGTGCGGGAGGGCAGGGAGGTGGGCACTCAGCTCCACTGTGTTTGGGGATGCAGTGCCCTCTAGTGGCCGCATCTGTCTGTCAGAACGGTGCATCCTAAGTAATGAAGGGGCCCCTGGCCTACGGAGGGATGTGTATGGGGTGTGTGGTGGCCAGCAGGCGGCGGAGTTCCTGGGTATTTGGGGATTAAAGGTGAGAGAAAAGGAATGTGGTGGCAGATTATTTCCCCCTTGAAGTAAATTTTACTCTGTGTGAAGGATATCCAGGGGGATTTTAATTTTCTCTCAGTTACTTCTGTCTCTCGCTGTGTATGTTTCTCCTAGGGATACATTTTATGGAATTATGTTACTCATTAATATTTTACTATTTCATTGAAAAAAAAATGGTACCACAACAAACTTTGTTAAGTAGCCAGGTGTTACTTTTCCACAAGTTTTTCCGCGGTGCCGAAGTGGCCCCATAGAATTCATCGCAGATTATTTCCTCTCACAGAAGAGCATTTTAGACTTGATATCCCCATCTAGCGGTCATTTCGTGGGAACTCTTTCCCAGTCACTGTTGAATCCTTTCTCAACAAGGAGGGCTGCGGGTTGATGAAATGCCCCTGGTCCTCCAAGAGACCCTCAAGCTCTCTGGCACAGTTTGCATAGCAAAATTTTTTAAACTTTATCTTGAAAAGAAACACTGTGTCTTTTCTGATTTTTTTTTTTTTTTAATTTCATTCGCTTTCCCAGTGAAAGGCAGCCTGTTTTTCTAGAAATCATTTCAAGAATCCAAGACCGCTTTCACCTCACTTATCTCTGCCTGGTTCATATTAGCTGTTGAAGAAGGTGGAGGCCTGGCCAGGGGCTAGGTGAGGAAAGCCCTGCTAGACTGTGCTCACTTTACAAATATTCCCAGCCACGGGCTTGACCGAGGTGCCTAAACCTGAATGTCAGTCAAGATTCACATGTGGCTCTGAGTGACTCTGGGCCTGGCCGGTGTGGGCTCCGGTTTGATAACACCATTCTTTGCTTTGGTGTGTGCAGTTATGCAGTTCTTATAACCTAGGAAAGGCTTCAGCTCAACTCTGGGTTTGTTATTAAACAAATTGCAAATGTGAAATAAATTAGAGCTCACATTTATAGTCACTGAGTGAGTCCTTTGCGTTAATGTGCAGAAGGAGTCCCATGTCAGGGGAGCTTCTGGATGGAAGATGCCTCATCCGCATACTGAGGATATTCATCCGGGAAACAACAGTGTTGAAATGTCTCATGACGTTTGCAAATGGGCTCATATTACATGGCAAACACAAGGGAGGAGGGCAGAGAACTCCCTGGACCCCACAAGAGAGAACCCTGTTAGAAAGTCAGTGAGTTGTAGCTCACAGTCACCTTCTGAAACCCCTTTGCAAACCCTTCCAGCCATTTCCCCCAAAGATCTGGGCCCATCAAGTACCTCATTCCTGAGCGGTTCAAGATGACCAGAACGAATGTTCTGTATCTGCCCTTTATTTCTAGAAGCCCAGTGGTCTCTACGAAATTGTTTCCTGTTCAGGCCTGTAGCTGTGTCACGAAGGGTCTGGGATCTCTTGTGGAGCCCAAGGGCTTTTGGTCAGTGGACTGTACTTCCAACTTCATCTAGCATGAATAAGTTAAATGGGAAATCATGAAGGCTTGGAAGACAAATATCAAGCCGTGTTTTCTTCCACAGGGAACAAAGTATTACTTATTTTCAGGTAGACATTTCTCATCTTTGTCACCAAAAATAAACCGACAATTTCTCTAACTACTTTTCACTCATCAATCAAGGACGTTATAAATCCATCTCCTTGGAGTGCTTTGGAGTACCCAAACTCCCTCCTGTGTTCCGTGCATTGATGAATAATAAAGCAGAAAAGTCCTCTGCCTTCCCAGTGACTTAAAGGCTTTGGAATCCGACAAAATTTGATTCAAATCCCAGCGCTTACATCATACTAGCCGTGTGATCTTACGGCTCTTGGTCTCACTTTCCTCATCCATAAGATGGGTGCAATGGTAAGAACTCCATGCAGAGAGTTCTTGTAAAGGGTTAAAGGGGGTCTGGAACAGGTCTCACTTCATAGTTTGCGTAAATCTTACCTACAGTTATGATTAAACTCTTATGATGATGGTTGGACATGCACTAGCCACTGTGTTATGTACTTTAAAAACATGCTGCTGTTTATTCATCGCACAATGCTAGGGACAAGGAATATCTTCATTTTATGGATGAAGAAACTGAGTCCTGGGCTAATCACTGTTGTTACTGTTGGGATTATTGACGACAGTCGTAGATCCTGCAGACACTGCAGATGCATCCCTCTGAGGGGATCGGTGGAGCTGAGGGTTCTCCAAAAGGAAACAACCTGATCTCACATTTGGAAGGCCGTTTCCAACTCTGATAGGTTACGGGGAGGACGGGTTCCCCACATTGACTGGGACGTTAGAGTCACATCCTTAACAGTGACGTTTTGTGACCTTTCTGGGATTTGACTCCAGCACTCAGGGGCCACAAGATCACGCAAGACCTTGCTCTTTCGCCTTATTGCCTCATTGCTCCTTTTCATTTTGTGTCTGGCAGGCAACTCCCCATCCGACGAGTCAGAGGAGCGGGAAAGAGACCCGAAGGTGCTGACGTTCCCAGAATACATCGCCAGCCTGTCAGAGTCTGGCACCAAGCGCATGGCGGCAGGAGTCCGCATGGAATGCCAGAGCAAAGGACGATGCCCCTCATCCTGCCCCCTGTGTCATGTGACATCCAGCCCTGACACTCCTGCTGAGCCAGTTCTGCTGGAGGTGACCAGAGCAGCCCCCATCTATGAACTGGTGACCAACAACCAGACCCAGAGGGTAAGAGGCCTGGGACTCAGGGAAGCATCAACAACAACAGAGGGCTTTCCAAATGGCCGGGGTGGGGGTTTGGTGACAGGGTGTAGTTGAGTTCCGTGCTAGACTAGGGATACTGAGACTTTATGTTTAGCTAATCCGGGCACATAATTTGCTTAGATTTGCATGTTTGCATATTAAGTCAAATCAGTGCATCCACAACACCCATGGTAATGACTCAGGAGTCACAGCTCAGCATTTGTGTAGATTCTTGAGCAACAAGGGCTGGGAAGAAGAAGGTAGATCAGGAGGCGTGGCATTCATAGTCACCAAAGTCATTGTTCAGAAAGCCTCAGGGGACAGTTATGGGGGGGGAAGGCCAGCTCCCCTAACAGATCCCAAGCCTGGATTGACTGCAGCGAGGCTAGAAAGAGTGTGTCGGCATAGGTTCCAAAGGGAAGGGTCCGGTCTTAGCCTGGGGGGCATGGTGTCCTGCCCATGGCTCTGACTCTAAGAACAAAGACCACAAAACCCCACATCCAAGCAAATCTTCTGCCTTATATTATACTGCTAGGTTATGACGTGTCCCAAGCAGCCCTCCTTTCCCTGTGTGGTTCCCTTTCCAAAGGTGCTACGAGAAAATGAATGGACCCAAAGGGATAAGCTGGAGAACTGTGGCAGAGACAGTGGCTTAGCTCATCCCCTAGCTCTCTGATCTCCTCAAGGACAGAAAGAACAGAGTGGGTCACGACACATGCAACAGCAACGATGATGACAATGACAAGAATAAAAACACAAAAGCTCAGGGTGCAGGACTTCTGATGCTACAGGCAAAGGTGACCTTGAGGGACCAGACCATAGGAGAGTCAGAGCAGAGAGCTCCTTACCTGCCTGAGAGCTGTGTCCATCCAGGCAGGGTGATGATTGCTTTCTCTTTCCCCTTTTAAGGACACCTGGTGTGTCACAGTTGTTTCATAGGTGATGCTCCGCCAGCAAGGAGGGATTTTGCACATGTATGCTGCTCTTGCCAATGATAGTTCAAAGCAAGATTCCTCACAGGAACGAAAGGAGTTCCTTTGGCCTATGAATTCCTCTTCATTCTGATGGAAGTGACTGGGGAAGAAGAGCTGGGGCAAGGAGACCACGGAAGGGTGGCTTGCAAGGGTTGATGTCACCATGGAGACCCAAACCTGCAGTGGCTTTAATCCAGTGCCCTTACCTGCCCCACTTTGTCTTCTGGGAGCACCCGAGGCCGCTGCAGCTGGTGCCCCAAGAGCTCCTGAGCACTTGGCCTGGACTAGCAGAGGCAGGGAATACACTCATAGCACCACCCTATGGGACAAGGCACACGAAGCTGCAAAGTAGGGAAGAGCTGGGTGGGAGAGGAGGACAAGGACTCCCAGCGTCTTGCAGGGGCGTCGTGGGTAAAAGGGGAAAGCTGAAGGAATTCGTGTCTTTAGCATCTCCCTCTCTGGATCTCCTACTTGCCAGACCTTGGCCCTTTCCTGTCTCTCTGCACTGGTTTTAAGAGAGGGGTTGGGAGAGATCGTCCATCTGGCCGTATTTGAACATTGTAATTTCTGAACACATAGACAAGGTGGCCCAAGGTGCTCCCGTCACCATCCCATGTTTCTTCTCTCTCATTCCTTAGACATAGTCTGTCTTCTCTGTTCATTCTCTCTCTTCCTCCACTCTTCCTTCTAATTTTCCCTTTCTCACAAAGAATGCAGATATGGAGTGAAAAAGTGAACGAAGAGGGGTGCTAAGTCACGACACCAGTAAACTCGGTGTGTGTTCTTATCTCTACCCCTCTGGTAGGTCTGGGGCCAATTTTCTAACCTCTCTTGGCCTCCTGTTGGACTAGATCATCTATGATGCCATATTTCAGTCTAGTGATTAGAAACAGTCTAGAAACCAATAGGTCAAACTATATAACCCACCAGGTGTCTCCAACCCAACATCTTCCACCCCAAACAGTTACCACTGTGCTTCAGTCTCGGTGAATGGGATTCTTTTCTACCAAGTTGCCCAAGCTGGAGGCCAAGTATGCTTCCCTGACTTTTCTTGCCACTCCCTAACATGTATTTATCATCACCAGGGACTACAAATACTTTGAATCCATCCTTTTGTGATTGTACCTTCATCACCATCTTCCACTGTAATAGCAGGCCACCATCTTCTTGTTACAGTAGCTTCTTACTGGTTTTCCTGTGAGACCAGTCAGAGTTTTCTGTCTGATACAGACATCAGGTCTTATTGCAGCAGGGCAATTCAGTAGCTCTGCAGAATCTGTTAAATAAAATCTAGAGTCCTTAGCATATCGTTATAAGGGCAGTTCATTGTCCAATTTGGTCCTCGCTTACATGGTTAGGTTGTGTCTACTTTATGCTTTATATTCTATCCCCCAAATTTCAACTCCTGATACCTCCTTAAACACAACACATTTTCTGTCATGCATCTGGCCCTTCAGACTTGTCACTCTCTCTCTCGCAGGAATAGCTTCTCCTACATTTCTGCCAATGGCAGTACTTCCAGGTTTCAGCTCAAGCATCCACAGCCATAACAAGCCCTCCCTTGTTCTCCCAGGCCAGCCCCTGTTCCTTCAAGTGGCTCCCACTGTCTGTGTCCCTGCATCTTCTGAAGCACGTATCACCTGCTGTCATGAGTGCTCACGTATTTGTTTATGTATTTGTCCTGTAGACTCTAAGAAGCACTCATTCTTCTATGGAATCCTAGCTCCTAGCTGACATGTAGTTGACACCCCGCTGGATAAATGATGAAATAAATAAATGGAGGAATGAACGGAGGGGTGAACTTGGCCTGAAAGTTCAGCTGCTTTCCCTAAAACAAAATAAGAACAAAAATGGGAAAATCCTATTTCTTTTTGGGAATCGGGATTAAATTTCATAACAAATGAGGATCCTCATGCAATGCCTGCCACATTCTAGATACCAAGAAAAATGTAATTTTTTTTCCTTTTCCTTTCCAGAAGGGCTCCTTCTTGATTTCCCCTCTTCTACCCAAGCCTACCTTCCACAGTTACCGATAGCCCAAGATTCAGGGAGTAGGAACTTGTGGAATTGTGTGAACCAAAAGTGGAAAGTTAAAGCTTTCGAAGAAATGTCTGTCATCATAAGTGTTGGTCCTTACTTCTTTTTTTTTAAAGATTTTATTTATTTATTTGAGAGAGAAAATGAGATAGAGAGAGAGCATGAGAGGGGGGAGGTTCAGGGGGAGAAGCAGACCCCCCACTGAGCGGGGAGCCCGATGCGGGACTCGATCCCAGGACTCCAGGATCATGACCTGAGCCGAAGGCAGTCGCTCAACCAACTGAGCCACCCAGACGCCCTGGTCCTTACTTCTTTGGGTTGAAAATCGGATCATGTTTCTCTGCTGTTTCAAATACTCTCCCCTGCTCTTAGAATGGGACACCACCCCTCACCATGGACCACAGGGTCTCTGTAACCGGCCCCACCCCCTCCCACTTGCTGAGCACCTCTTTGTCCTTCACTCTGGCTCTTGCAGCCAAGAGAGCCTTTACTCGGTTGATTTTAAATGTTAAGTGTCACCCAGGCTGAAGTCATCTTAATATTGGTTTTTCCACCTGGAACACTTCCCCATCTTTTGTGACCAGATAACTCGTGATCTGTCCTTCAGTGCAGATGAGAACACACACGCTCATGGAGGCCTCCCCAAACCTCTCTGTGAGATTATCCCCCTTCCTTTTCCCTCCTGTCCCAAGTCACCCTTTTCCTTTGGAGCCCTTACCACCAGTCCTACTAATCTGGTTGCTTATGTAACTTTTGTCTGTTCCTTTGTTTGTTATTTGGCTGCAAGATGTATGTGGGCAGGGGCTGACTATGTCTAATGCCACCCTGTATCCTTCATGCTTAGCACAGGGGCCAGACCCTTACAGGTGCTTAGCCAGTAATTGTTGATTGAAGACTGCACGCGGGCAGCCACAATTCCCTCTTTATTCTACCCCTCTCAACGGAAGTCGGTTTTCCTAGCTTAAGAAAGTATACTTTTGGTTTGAGTTTGGTTCAGTCAGGTGAAGCATGGAGTGAGCACCTACGGTGCACCGGGCTTCCTGCTGGGAGCCGGCGGACAATCAGTCACATTGAGCCCAGGCTCTGGGGTGGCCCCCACTCACTAGCCTGTGATCCTGAGCAAGTCACTAATTTCTTTGACTCCAAGTGTCCTCCACTGTAAATCCTGTTTACCGTGGAGCTCAAACTACAGTGTTAGCCCTAAAAGGGCCTTGCAATTCTAAAACTACATACACATTATCCTGATAACCAAGAATTGGTCCCTGCTCCCTCGAAGCTCCCCGTCTGGGAGTAGGAGGGTGGGAGAGGGGTCACTATGAACCCTTATGTGAAGTTCTGGGAGAATGTAACTTAGGGTATTGGCTTGCAGCTTAGACATTTCAGTTTTTTGTAGGGTTATCTGTCAGTTTTATCTTACGCTTTTCTTTCTTTTCCTTCCTTCCTTCCTTCTTTCTTTCCTTCCTCCCTCCATCCCCTCTGCCCCCCACTTCCAATGTTTTTGGCCTAAAATTTCCCAAGATGGCTGCTTCCTTTCTCTAATTTGCCAGTTCTGTGTGGGTGTGGTAAGAGTGGGTCAGAGAGAAGAGACTCAAAGGCAAAGCAGAGGCTGCGGACCGTGAGCGGACCCAGAGAGAAAGCTGACCTCGGCCAGAGGGCACGGCCACACACCTTGTGGCCAGCCTCGCCCTCTCCCTGTCCCTGGGCTGGGGTAGAGGCAGCAGGGCCCCGCTGAGGGGTCAGTGCCCGTCAGGATCTTCTTCCTCACCAGGGAATTGTCCCATCTCAAGTTCTGTTCCCTGACTAGTCTAATTTTATCTTTTTGTCCTTTCATCAAATAGGGAATATGTGCCGTGAAATCACTGTATGTAAAGAATTGTCCTAGGCTCTGTGGCATTTGTATGCTTCCACAGAAGACCCAAGCCTGTCATTCGAACATAATAATAATTGTGCACAGCACAGGTATTATGCTATGCCCTTTGGCCTATATTATTTTGGGTCATGATCACAACAAGCCCTATGAGGAGAGTGCTGTTTCTGTCCCATTTTTCCACTGAGGAAACCAAGTTGATCGAATTTGCTCCAGGTCACATGGCAGTGATTTGCAGAGCCGAAGTCCTCACCCAGGGCAGACAGCTCTGGAGCGCAGTTCTTCACCTGGTTGCTGCTCTGTTTCTACCTTCTACCAGGAAAGAGAGGCCTCACACTCAAGCACAACCCAAGGCAGATCTGCATAAATATTGTACGTGGGGCACAAGGCACGCTGAAGGAATGCGGCAGAGGGGCAGTGCTGGGCAGGATGCAGAGGGCAGATGAGGATGCACAGAGAGGCATTTGAGAAAGGGCCAAGTGCCTAAGGGTGGAGAGAAGAGGGGTCAGGCCAGTGGATGGTCGAGAGGTTATTGTTGCTAGGGCCCTGGGTGTGGAGTGACGACGGATGGAGAAGAAGGGAGAAGTAAGACTTGCTTCCAAGGTGACAGCCCTCAACCATAGGGGTAAACTGGCACATTAAGGAGAAAGCAGCGCCAGGGAGGTCCTGCGAGGTCTAGTTTCCCAGAATCGGTCTCCTGGGGTAGGAATTTTAGATCAAAAAAATGGTGAAGTGGTGCCCCAGCCTACTGGCTGAAAGTATTCTAGAACCAAGCAAAGCCTGGATTCTGTCTCTTGACGGTGGTGACCCAGCCCTGGCTCCTGGACACTTACTCTTCCTTCTCTTGCAGCTCTTGCAGGAGGCCACCATGAGCTCACTCTGGTGCTCAGGGACTGGAGATGTCATCGAGGACTGGTGTCGATGCGACTCCACAGCTTTTGGAGCGGATGGACTCCCCACCTGTGCACCTCTCCCACAGCCTGTGTATGACTCCCCTTCTCTGCCTCTCTGTTGTGTGCCCGCCTCTGCACGGTTCTGCAAATGTGTATTACAGGGCATCCAGTTGTTGCAAAGCAATAGACTGGGGGCCAGGGAACAGGAAGAAAAACACGAGGCAGCTCCTGGCCTCAGAGAGCTTTCAGTCTTAGAGATGCAGCACGCAGAGTGTCAAAGGAGAAGACATGGTCTGATAAGAGTTATCAAAGACATTTAAGTCAAGTGTGAAAGGGAATGTTCAAGTCTGAATTGGGGGCATGGTGAAGGCTTCATGAAGGAGATGGCACTTGAGTTTCTCCCGGAAGGTAGAGAGGGTAGGACGGCATGGCCAGAAGATCAGAGCGCTAAAGTGATGTTGCTGGGGAGGAAGTGAGAGATCGGTAGTGAGACTCTACCAGGCCAATGACACATTTCCTGGGTGGCAGCTCTGTGTGGAGCCGTTAGGTACTGTTATCACTTCCATTTAAGAGGCAAGGAAATGTATTCAGATGCTCTGAATGATTTTTCCAAGGCCCTCAAGCAGGAAGCAGAGCTGCTATCGCTAAGAGGCCACGATCTCAGCCATCATAGTGTTGAGAGGACACAACGGAGAGATGATTTGGGATAGAACCAACGGGGGGGCGGGGGGGAGGGGGGTTGTGGGTGACTCGCTGGTGTGGGAGGGAGAAGGAGGGATTTGAGAATGGACCTATGACTTTGGCCTCGGTGGCTGGGAAGACAAATAAGCCACAGCTGAGAAGAGAAGCATCCGGGGAAATGCAGGTTTGAGGAGGAAGCTGTGTCCAGTTGGACCCGTCCTGAAGATATAGCAGGGCAGTTCTACCGAGATGTTCAGTGGTCAGAGGGAAAGACAGTTTGGACAACTAGACATCTACTAGAGATAAGAAGATTTAAATCAACCCCAAAGAAATGAGCAATGGAACCCCAGCTATGAGAAAGGATCCTCCTGAATAAGTATCAACTGGAAAGAGGAGAGGGTCAGAGATGAGTATTAGGGGCTGTCTGCATTTGAGGGGTGAACAGAGTACAAAGGGTAGCCAAGGTGGTTCAGGAAGAACATGTCCAATTTCCTTGCCCTCAGGGGAAGGCTGCACAGAACTGGCCAAATCCCTGTAAATCCTGACGGGCTAAGGCCTGAGGCAGGCACCCCCTTAGCCTCTGCTGTGACATCTGTACTGGGAGTGAACACACAGACATACGGTGTCTAATAAGGAGTGCTGGCAGGAACCACTGGCGTCGCATGGCTCCGTGGGTTGTTGAGGCAAAAAAAGCCCAAAGGGAGAATCAGGACCCATGGGAATTCGAGGGCGAAGTCAGCAGGAGCGAGCCAGCAGGAGGACACCAGCAAATGAGAGACCGGTTGTGCGGATACTGCCCTCCGGCCTGAAGCAGGGAAGTGCTGGTGGGCATCAAAGAGCCAGGACTGAACAGGAAGAGAACCAAGAAAGATGAGACACAACAGGAGACGATCAGCGCAAACCAACGTCTTCTCTTGTCCACATGCCCTCTCTCTATGGGTAGTTTTAGTTACATCAGTGCTTGGCTTCTTGCTCTTTACGGCCATGACTTGGACCTCTTGAGTCAAAGGAGAATCAAGGTCATTATTAGTCAAGGTCCTTCTTTTGGTATAAAGGGAGCCACTAGAAGCAGACGGTGCTTCTAGATGGATTCACCCACTAAGAAAACTACCTCATTTTTGACACAACACTGAGGCCACTAAACAGTTATCATCAGTTGGACACAAGATCCAACCATTGGTGTCTTAGGGCTGATTTTCTTTCTAAATCTGCGTTTACTGTATGTTATTGCTAAAGATCAAATTGGGCTAAATTTCCATAAGCAGGAACATCTATTAAGGACTTCACTTCTCTTGTCAACTTTAATCACTTCTTTTAGTAGCGGACCTTAGTTTCTTGAACGTTTCTTGGTAATTGGAAATAGAAATGCACTCTGGTTTTACACGAGTCTATGTAAATCATGCGTGCTGCTGTTTCTTAGTAGAGGCCGGCTTTGGTCCACATTTTCACAGAATCTGACTTCTCAGAAAGGCTTAGTTACTTACTTAAGCTTCCTAATGCTTTTTTCTTCAAAATAGCACTCGGCATATGACTCTAATTAATGAATTCGTCAATATCCGCACTGTTTTGGGTCTACTCCATCTTTCATGTCATCTGCAAACTATGCACTCCTTCATAGTAAGCCACTAAGGAGCATGTGTTTTGCATTATTTTCCCACTGGTTGAATTCCTTGCTATTGCTCCCACAGCCTCCCGTGATTTCTTCTTAAAGTTCTTATCACACATTATTATAATCACATGTATAATTGTATGTTTTTCTATTGACCACTCCACAAAAGAAAGGGCTATGGGGCACATGGGTGGCTCAGTTGGTTAAGCGTCTGCCTTCGGCTCAGGTTGTGATCCCAGGGTCCTGGGATCGAGCCCCGCATCGGGCTCCCTGCTCAGCGGGAAGCCTGCTTCTCCCTCTCCCATTCCCCCTGCTTGTGTTCCCTCTCTCACTGTCTCTCTCTCTGTCAAATAAATAAATAAAATCCTAAAAAAAAAAAAAAAGAAGGGGCTGGAGCTGGATCGAGCACCACTGCATCTTGAGCACCAAGCACATTCTGATACATAATAGGTGCTCAACAAACATTTGCTGAATTGAAATTGACCATTGCCTTGGTGTGTTCCATCTGTAGCACCTGGCACAATGACCCCCTGAGACCAGTGACAGGCATCTGTGAGCTGAGTAGAGAGCAGAGGTCGATGATTATGGGAGGTCGTGGGATATGGGGACCAAGGATGAGGGAAAATGGCAGGGATGGCATGTGACGGATGGAGACTGGAATGAGCAGGAGCCAGGAAAATCCCCAGAAGCCAGTGGTCTAGAAAGAAACCCGGAATTGGAGGCAAGTGAGAAATCTGAGATATACGTATGAAGTCAGAACAAGGTAACAAATTGAAACCACTTGGACCATTAGGAGATCCGTACCACGAACGTCAATAATGTATAGTGAGTCTCTGCAAGGCACAAGGACGTATGAGAAGGCAAGGCAAAGAGCGGTGAAAATGGACAATTTGCATGGAAGGAAGAGACTCTGAATTGGGAAAAGCAAAGAAAGACTGGAGTCGGGAATCAGGATAGTCAAAGAAATCCAAGAACAAAAAAAGAACCTGAAAGCAGAGCTCAAGTTTGCAGCCACAGGACATCACCCCGAGGAGAACTTGACATGTGGTCCCCTTTCTCTTGCCTGGTAAAGCCCCCCAGGAGCATAGCCTCCAAACCGAGCCTGTTGCAAGGCCCAGCCAGCAGAAGGTGTCAGGAAGAAAATATGTTAGTACCCATAGCAAGAGGGGAAGCCAGGGTTCCCCCCACAGAGCAGATCCTGGTAACGCTATGGACACTGAGCCTTGTTAATGCAGGGCTCTCCCAGACACCACCTCAGTGAGCCTTGGCATGAGCTTTATAGGCACATTGTCCTATTTTCAAGCGCAAATCCAGAAATTATATTTGCAAGCCCTATACAGGGCCACCCAGAAAGCCCTGCCCACTGACCCTATAAGATGTAGGTGCTCATTCATCTTTGATTCACCTACTTATTCATTTATTTGCAAACAGATGTTGAGTTCCTAATAGGTAAAAGGCATTTAAGAGTAATAAAATACAGAGTCCAGGGACCTTCAAGAACCATTGCTCTCTAGTGAAGGAGACAGGTGCTCAGAGAGATCGTTGCAGTGGTTGGTTAAGGAAGGTTAGAAGGAAGATTTGAGGGTGTAACAATTGAGAAGGTGGCCAGTATCAGAAGGGCATCGCAGGACCCAACAGGTCCCCATGTCATGTCTCTTCCTGTCTCGCACTCAGGCTGAGACTCTCCACAGTTCATGAGCCCAGCAGCACCCTCGTGGTCCTAGAGTGGGAACACTCAGAGCCTCCAATCGGGGTGCAGATTGTAGATTACCTCATCCGTCAGGAAAAGGTCACTGACAGGATGGACCACTCCAAAGTGGAGACAGGTGAGCCTCTCCAACTTCATGGGCTCATCTTAATCCATTGGTAAAAAGAAGAGAAAAGGAAAACGTCCTGCCTCCTGGCCTATGTTCCGGGTCCCCGGTGTCCAAGGGCAGTGCGGGGGTGGGGGTGGGGGGGCAGGGGGGGCCGGAGGTGGGGAAGCAAGAACAGCCATCTCGTCCATTTAAGAGTTTTTGCATGGTGAGCATCTGACAAAGTCTTGTTTTGATTTTGTTTTTCTTTTTGTTTATTAAAGAGGTGTCCATTTCATTGCCTCTAGGCACACTCACAAAGAAACAACAATACAGTACACTAGTTATCCTAGCCCACAATTAGGAAACAATTCTGTGCTAACCACTGCCATGATTACAGGAAAAAAAAAATTCCTTTGCTAGTAACCCCCCTCTGGGCAAAAGCATGCGCAAACAGATGTGCTTACCCCATGTCTTGTCCTAAAGCAAACTCTGCAGTTGCCAGGTCCAGCTAGAAGAGGGACGTCTTCAAGAAGTGGAAACACCCCATGAACAATGTTCCATGCCCTAGTATTTTGCTGCCTACATGTAGGGAAAGGTCAACACAAATCATCCCTAAAACCTACGCATGAGTGTGGTACCCCACAGGATGGTGGCGTCCACAGTCTGATGCAGGGTGAATAAGCTCTGCGAAAATGGTCAGCGAGGCTGGGAGACATAAGCATGGCCTTCAGGCATGGGGAGCCGTCTCCTGCTTCCTCCCAAGGCCCTGTCCCTGATGCACACAGGTACTGCAAAGGGCTGGCAGGGACCATTGCCCTCAGCAGCTGCTCCCTACCCTTGCCAAGAACATTTCATAAAAGAGCTCACACATGTGTGTACATCTTGCCGTAGTTGTGTCTGAACTCACTCCGGACAAATGGCTCTAAATTGATTAAACATGAAACAGAAAAGAAAATTCCTTCTAGGTCTTTTTTCTCTACTAGGAATTTGAGAAGACTGGGGACCAAGCAGTTCTAATGTTAAGTTCTCATTGAACTGATGCCATCTCCTTGCTTGGCCAGCACTGTTTCTCATGGCCTTTTCCATTCCTTCCCCTCCCCCACCCGGAGCAGAAACAGTACTGAGCTTTGTGGACGACATCATCTCTGGAGCAAAGTCTCCTTGTGCCATGCCTGCTCAGGTGCCAGACAAGCAGCTCACCACTATCTCTCTGATCATTCGATGCCTGGAACCGGACACCATCTACATGTGAGTGACACACGCCTGCCTGGCTTTTTCTTACCCTGAACGTCCCGAGGCTCTGAGCTCCTTCCTTTTTGTGTTTGAGTTCCTTCAGAAACTCAGAGAAATATTTTGAGTTTCTCAAGTCTTACCCTGATCGGCGTTATAGAGAACTTTCTAGGGACCGGAAAGGGAGGATTAAGAAAGACAAGAGAGCCCCATCCTTCAAAGAGTTTGCAACACAGAAAGGAAATATACAAAGAGCTAAATTTAACATCCGATAGGAAGACATAGAGGCTAGATAGAAGAACAAGGAACATGTAGAAAGAGAAGGGAAAGGAAGGGCTAATTCTAATTAGAGTGGACATCACTCACTTGGGTCGTGTAGAATTTCGGTATGTAGAGTGATGTGGGAAAAGGCAGAGCAGGCTGAGGAACCAGCAAGGGCAAAAGCAAAGAGGCATGAAGGTGAGTAGCAAGTAGTCCAATCGAGTGGAAGCAGATGGTGAGTAAAAGGGAATGGAAGAAAGTGATTCTGGAAAAAGAGACTGAATACTCTAAGTCAAGGGAGATTATTAATTTTTTTAGATGAAATAATAGAATAGCAAGAACTCAGCTTTAGAAAGCTAGCTCCAGTGACGTCGAAATAGTTTATAGAGGTAGAGATGGGCAGCATTTTTCTCCAAGGAAAATATGGTGGACTCCTATCTCATGGCACTTGGAACAGCCCTGTTCTCTATGGGAGTGCTTCCTCATTTCTCCCTGTGTTCCTGGAACAATAGTAAAATAGTTGTGAAGCAGAGACATTAAAGACACTCTTGTGAGAGGAGAGAGGTTGAGGGAATCTAAGTCATGATGGGAAAACAGGGAGGGCGGGCAAGGCAGAATTCCTGGTGATGTAGTTCTGGGACCTTTTGACCCCACTGGTATGAAAAACAGTTTACAGTTTACAGATGAGGTCACAAGAATAGAGTCAGAGTAGCCAGAATAAATCATCTCCATTTCCACAGGTAAAGAATTCAAAGGTGAAAAGCACTAGAAATGTGAGTGGCATTGACTGCAAGATGAACGAGATGCTCAGGCTGAATGGCTTCCATCTCGGAAAGAGATGTAACTAGGGAGCCATACTAGTAAAATATGTCAAGACAAGGGATATTCTAGAGGAGCTGGAAAATACAGAGCAATGGAAAGGATGGTTCCACGACAAGGGAAAGCTGACCAACTTAGGATTTTTAGCAGCTCTCTTGCTATTGGGCAGGTGTAGCCCTTTATGAGGAGGGGAAATAAGCAAAAGGAGGAAAGATTAAGGACGGTGCGGTAAAATGCCTCCAACCCAGTGAAACTGGAATTCTCACTTATAATAAGAGCTCCCTAATTCCTGTCACTAAGTCACAGCTGTTAATTAGGACTTTTGAAATTCCTGTGAACCAGCCCTCATCCATCTTGGGACCCTCCTCACGTTGGCCTGATTTGGCCACATTTCCTGATCAAAGCCCTGAGACTGATACCTTCTCCCTCTCTGCAGTCTTTGGTGAACTTCCAGCATTGCCCTCTTAAGTCTCGTAAAGCACCAGCTTTCTGTCTGTGTTGATGATGAAGTCAGAGTGCTTGGGGCGGAGGGAAGAAGCCGCCGGCTAGGTGGCGCTCCACTAGGTGGCGCTGCAGATCACGCGAAGAGGGCCTCGGAGGGCCTGGGAGAGCCGGGCCTCCTTGTAGCTTGAAGCCAGACCTTCAGAGCCTGGTAGGAGGACAGAGCCCCGGATTAATTGCTGGAAACACATGGCCCCCAGCCTGGTTCTGTTTCTAAGCACTAGTCATTGTAAGCAGGATTGCAACGAAGTTTCCTTATCATTAAAAGGGAGGGTTCGGCCTTCACTTATGGGGTGCTTACTGGGTGCGGGACCCCCTGGGAACCCTCGGGGACCCTGTGAGGTTGGGGTCTTGCTCTCATGTCATAGTTGAGGAAACTGAGTTTCAGCAACACAGAGTCGCAAGCTGGTTGTCTGGGGTGTGGCGGTGGTTAAGAATTGAATCAGGGTTTGCGTTTTCTTCGCGGACTGCTTCTCACTCCGCAGCCACTCCAGGCTACCAGAAGGATCTAGCCGCGTGATCTCATTTCCTCACGTGAAAGCGTGGAGCTGGCTCTTCACCTGGGCTCCACAGAGGTGGAAGGGCGTTTCAGCGTAGCTGGCTTATTTTGTCAGCCTGTGCGACTGAGAGAATTCTGGGTCCACAGTACAAAAACATTTAATTCCCTGGTTGAAAGGGATCTTAAAGTGTGTCTGGTTCGACATCTTCAGTTTACAGAGAAGGAAACTGAGGCCCGAGCGGAGAGGTGACTCCCCTTCTAGCCCACGCCCCTCGTCCCAGCCTGTGCTCACAGGAGGAACTACTGCCTTTGGGAGCGAGCGGGAGCCGACGGACAGTTCGGAAAAGGGGAGTGGATGGGGCGCCTGGGTGGCTCAGTGGGTTAAGCGACTGCCTCCGGCTCAGGTCATGATCCTGGAGTCCCGGGATTGAGTCCCCCATCGGGCTCCCGGCTCAGCGGGGAGTCTGCTTCTCCCTCTGACCCCTCCCCCCTCTCATGTGCTCTCTCTCATTCTCGCTCTTTCAAATAAATAAAATCTTTAAAAAAAAGGGGGGGGAGTGGAACTCGGAGCCTTCAGCTGAAACCGCCACACGTGCGCAAGGACGCGTGAGAGTAGCCCGCGAGGCAGCCAGCCCTGGACACGGGGGCCAGGGTGCTCCTTGCACACCACGTTTCAGGAGCCGGAGCCAGGCTTTGTCGGTTCTCACTCACACACTCTCACGCACGCGCACCCTCACACCCACTCACGCACCCTCTCACACACACCCTCTCACACCCTCACACACATTCAAACACTCACATTCACACACTCATGCCCCCCCCACACTCTCTCACACACCTTCACACTCTCTCTCACGCTCACTTTCACACACCCACACACTCACACCCCACACACTCTCTCTCGCTCTCACACCCACACCCCCCCCTCTCTCTCACACGCACACTCTCACCCTCGCTCTCTCACACACCCCCACACACACCATGCAGGTGTCATCACAGACTCTAAGGACAAGCTGAACAATCCAGCCAGGTGGCGGTGGAAGGGCCCAGAAGTCTTGGGCGAGCTGGCAAGCGTACTCCCACCGTTAGCCCTCCGGCTTGGGAGTCAGGCTTCCCTCCCCTGTCCTCGTTCCAGCTCACCTTCTTACTGCCCTAGAGTGCTCGCCGGCGGAAACCGGAATGCTGACCATGAACGGAGCAGTCCTTCCCCACGAAAATATGGAAAGTGCCCCCTGGGCTTTGGTGGTCCCTTTAAGCTGGCTGCTGTCAGCGTCCCTCCGGGGCTATGGGGCCGGCCCGCTGAGGAAGAGCTCTTAGGATAAGGACCGTCTCTGCTCAGGAGGTTAGGGGGAGCAGCTTCTTTCCTAACACCTTGCTTTGCTATTAGAAATAGTAGGGCTCAGGACCCTAACTTTTGTACTAATTGCCCCGTCAGAGTAATGTGAGAATTCACTTAAGCACAGGCATTTATTTTCATTCCAGCTCGGGATCCGATCGAGTTAGTGAGGAGCTTACCACGAGGAGGGCACACAGCGAAGCTGCCCGCAGGAGTGGGAGCAGCCGGGTGGGCGTTGTGGGGGGTCACACGTCCCAGGCTCCCGGGCACCGAGGCAGAGGGTCCCTCTGATAGCCAGTTCGGTGCCCGAGGCTCAGGACATTTCTCATCTCAGTCCAGGGACTCTGCTAGAAATTAAAGGGCCAAGTAATGGGGGGTCACAAAAAGTGGCTGGAGCCCAGCCGCAGACTGTCTAGGGCAGGTGACGTTAAACAGACAGGTGGGCAGCCTCACATCAGGTTGCAGCGCTGGCCGTGCTCAGGACCCTGGAAGGTGGAGAGGAAAGGACAAGGCAGAGCCGTCTCACAGAGGATAGCGCACCGGGCGGGCTGGATCGCAGCCACAGAAACCAGGCCAGGGGCGCAGGAGCGCGGGCTCAGACACGTGGGTGGGGAGGGGCAAGGAAGGAAGAGAAGCCCCGGTGCGGGGGGGCCCGCCGGCGCTAGCCGCAGGGTGCCCGTGCACCGGTGCGGGAGAGAAGCGGCTTCCTATCTCCCGACTCTGGTGAGAACTGCCTGCCCCCGGTGGAGTCAGGGCAGAGTCTGCCGCAAAGATCAGGTGGCCCACCTCTGGAGGGAGGAGTCGGACCTCCCACGCATCAGCGTCTCCTGTGAGAGAGAGGGGTTCACTCGGACCTTAGAGGTCGGTCCCAGCACGGCTTGCAGGATGGTGGCCATCCTCGAGGCTCTCATTTCGCTCTCCCTAGCACTCCTGCTCCATGGTGGTGACAGAGGTGTGTGTGGGGGGGAACCGTGTCCATGTGTGGGAACCCCAGACGGCAGGAGAGAAACATTGCAGGGTGCTGGAATTTGGTCGCAAGGTCAGGGCGGGGTTTAGTACCAGGCAAGAAGGTAGATCTGAACCAAGGAGGAGAGGCCAGTGGGACGGACTGAGCCGCCTGGTGTAGGGAGGAGGGCAAGCCCAGCGCTGGCCCAGACCTGCCTGACAGCCAGGAGGCCAGGCTTCCCACGGAGTCCCCAGGTGTGGTCCTGGCCCTGCCCCCAGGCATGTCATCACATTCTCAGCAGCCGGGCTTCAAACCCAACCCGAGTTCTGACCCAGGTTTCTACTCCTTCCCTCGGCTCCGGTGCCATCAGCATGTAAGTGGCATCAGACTCACCTAGAAGGCTTGTGAGAGCCTGCTTCAGTTGGTCTGGGGTTGGGCGGGAGAGTTTTCATTGCTACCAAGTCCCCAGGTGATGCTGATTCTGTGGGTCTGAGGGCCCCACGTTGAGAACCCCTGCTCTGTGCCCTGGTGCAAACCCGCCCCAGCTCAGCATGGCCATCAGCCCGGGCCTCAGCTTCTCTCTGCTAATGACGCCCTCCCCTGTCTGCCAGGTTCACCCTGTGGGGAGTGGACAACACCGGACGGCGCTCCAGGCCCAGCGACGTGATCGTGAAGACCCCCTGCCCTGTGGTGGATGATGTCAAGGCCCAGGGTAAGTGACAGCAGAGACTGCAGAGGGACATCCCAGGGGCCTCCCCTCGCCATGACGGAAGTGAGAGCTAGGGAGTCAAACAGAACAACCTGGGGTTCCACGGGGAAGGGGGAGAATTCAAGGCACGTATCTGGGAGTACTCCACCTCGGCCTCCGGCAGAGATCCTCATGGTATCCCATTATCTCACACACTGGGGGGCAGGGAGCCGGGAGGACACACTGGCGAAAGCCCCGGGCACGCACAGTAACACACGAGGTGCTTAGGTACATGGTGGAGTCCCATGACCTTTGCCTTTGGGATTCCTCTCTTCATATGTGTGTGTACATCAGCAGAGTTCTTTTGAATTAAAACATAGAAAGGCTACAGATGTGGACATCTGTGCAAACAGCACACTTGCGGGAACTCCCTTTCCTCCTGATGCCCCTTGGCAGGTCTTGATAGTGTCCCCTGCTCTGAGGCTTAGCACATGCCGTCCACAACCAGGATTTGGCCATCTTGGGCATCCCTTCCGCGCGGCTCTCACACCAAGAACAGGGCTCCGACCAACCACTGCGGGCTCTCCAGGGACTGATTTGCACTTGAGCGGACACATGGGCCATCGCAGAGAGCTCAGGCATGCAGGTTTCAGGTTTCCTTCCCTTCAGGAAGGGAAACAGTGTGGCCAAGCCGATTGCTGGCTCCTCACGTTCTGAGATGGCTCCTGACTCCTGGCTCCTGACTCTCCAGGTGTATCAGGCTGCCCATGAGGGGCACAAGCCCACAGCGATCAAGGGGTGCGCACGGTGATGCAAGATCACAGGGGAGAGAGTGACCAGACCTACCTTAACTAAAATCACCAATGTTGTAGCACTTTACAGCTTCTAGAAGGATTCTCACATTTATCGCCTCATTTAACGTGTGGGACACTGTTCTTTTCAACTCAGGAATCTGATCATATTAAGACCCCTTCTTAAAACTCTTTAATGGATTGCCATTCTTCTTGTGACAAAGACCAAAATACTTAACAGACACATTAGGACCTAAATGAGGTGACCCTCGCCCACTTTTCCAGCCTCTTCTCATCCACTCTCCCCATCGATCTCTGCCTTTCAGCCTCACTGCCTTTCTCAGATCCTCCACACCATTCCCACTCCTACCACCGGCCCTTTGCACATGTCCATCTCATTACCTTGAACACCCTTCACCCTCACCCCTGATTAACTAACTAGCTCCTCTCAGCCTGCAGATTTTGGGCCAAGTGTCCCTTCCCCGGGACAGTGAAGAGGTCAAGGGCAACTGCTAGATGTTCTCACAGTATCATGTTACTTTACTTCAGCACATTCATCTCTGTTATTAGAATCATGTGTTCAATATCTACCTCACTGGACAGTGACCTCCAGGAGAGCAGAGTCTGGTTTGGTTTACTCACTATTATATCCCTAACACTTAGAAGGAAGGCAGCATGGTGACTGACTGGTTACAGACAATCTTAGGCTCTGGAGTCAGACCATCCAGCTTCAAATTCCTGCCCTGCTATGTACTTGACCTTGAGCAGTTCACTTCACATCATCCCTCAGTTTACTACTCTATAAAATGGGGGAAGGGATAATTGTACCCTACCTGATATGATTCTAGTAAGAATTAAATGAGTGAATTTACAGTATTTTCTTAAGTGCCCATCCCATAGTAACTGTTCAGTAAATGCTAGGAAGGATAGATTCTAACATCATGCCCCTCGTAGTCAACCTGATACAGCAGGAGTCAGGGGCCATAATGATTTCAGGGGTACCAGCAATGTGCTTAGCCACAATATTTCCCTGATTGAAACTGGCTCAGCCTAGAATTCCAGCACCAATGTTTCTGTTAATTTGGAAATGCTGCCACTAACCATGCAGAGTCTGCTTTCTAGTAGGGACCCAATAAGGATTTACTGAATGGACAGAATACTGCCCCCATTTTATAGATGCGGAAAATGAGATGCAGAGTCGAGTGAACAGCTGACCAGGGTCACAAAGTGAGCACTGAACAGAGACAGCACTCAGACTCATTATTTGACATCAATTCCCATTTTGCCCACGATGTTAAATCAGATATTTAGAAGGTCATTGTGTAAAAGAGTGAAAACCTTTCTTTGTCTCTGAATGAAAAAAAGACCTACATTTTAAAAAAAAAAAAAAGAGTATTCAAGTTAGGTAGAAAAAAAAAAATTCTCCTGTTCAGGATTATTAGAATCCACTGGGACGTTCCAGTGGAGTGGAGACCTTTACGTATAAGACAGATGTGCTTCTCCCCGGAGTGAGTGCTGCCTGGCTTATAGGGTATGGACCAAATGACTTTTGAAGGTCTCGAAATCCCTTAATGAAAGCAGAGTCTGGGGTTGAAAACCCTCAGATGAGAGGCTGTCTGGAGAAGCCCCCTGGTACCCTTAGGTCATCATCTGTTGATTTCTTACTCCAAGCCGGAGAGGAGCAGGTGATGAGAAGGTGCCCCAGCTAATTCTGTTTTGGAGAACTTGCTTGTGTCTTTGCCGGCCACAGTAGGCACCTTGGACTTGCCTGCTAAATAGGCAGCAGGCTGGTGGTGGGGCATCAGGGAGATGATGAGCAGGTAGATTTGCAGCACAGTGCTACCTGCAGAAATAGATGGACGGACAGCAACTCTGGAGTAAAGAGGGGTCAACATAGAGTAGTGTGCCTTGGAAAGACCGCTATTCTGTTTCTCTGTGGGGCTCCTTTGGGTTAATTCCAGCCCCCAAAGTGAATCAAGATGTGCTTCCGCCCACGTGGGCTCCCCGACAAAGGAGAGTATCTGAAATCCCAGTGGACCAGCTGGGCACAGAAAAGTCAATTTCATGCTGAGAGAATGAGGTAGCATCCCCATGTGCTTTTACTCTTGCACCAGGAGGGAGTCCTGTACAGGGCAAACGTGCAGATTAATGAGGTGGACTCATTGAGGGGATCCTCACAAATTAATACAGTTCTAGCAGCTCTACCGAAAAACCGTATGCTTTGCCTCCTTCAAACCCAAATGGTGATCATAAATATAACTTACTTGGGTCTGAGTTTAAACCTGACAACAAATGGGAATTAGCTTTTAAGTGACCCAGAGGATGACCTCAGCTCCTAATGATCCATCAGGAAGCCAGACTACTCCTTATATGAATACTTTTCCTAAACCAGATACTTTCTATGAAGAATTTTACCACATCATGACACTAAAGCCACTGAGCAAGTGAGTTGCCACCCGTGTTCTACTGAGAGCGTCCTTCCCGGGGAAGAACAAGCTCGTGTCAGCGATAAGACCAGCCTCATCTCCGGGCAGGGGCATGGCCTTGCAAGAGTTCTCTGTGAAGCTTCACGAAGAGAAGGCCAGCTCTCATCCATCACTCCCCCCAGCATCCATCCTTCTTTCCTGATGCCAAACATAAATTCTTGTCCCTTCCTTCCTCTGGCACTTATTGAGCCCTGGGATTAGATACTACAGAAACAACAATAATTGGACTCAGAATTTGTTTTCAAAAACTGTGTAATCAGATTTCATAAATGCACCAAATCATACCACACATATTAAGCCCCGACTAAATACCTGGTCTAGGCATTAGGGGGCAAACCCCCTGCCTCCTGGAGCTTAGATTTCAGCAGGGGGGACAAACTATAAAAGATAGTAAAACAAATATTTCAGATGGTGATGAATGTTATGGAGACTGACTAGCAGGGAAATGGGATAAGCAGTGCACAGGGCAGCATTTTAACTGGCGTGGTTTGGGAAGAGGGTGAAGGAGGAAGACACAAAGATACCCTGGGGAAGATCATTCCAGATAGAGGAACAACAGAGATGCCTGGTGTGTTTGAAGATGGGAAAGGAGGCCCCTGTGGTGGCAAGGGATGGAGAAGAGAGAAGGTGGAGATGAGCTCCCAGGGGCCCAGCGCAGGGATGGGGACTCGGCCTGGGACTAAGCAGGGAAGCACTGAGCACTTCAAGCAGAAGAGGGACATGATCGGGCTTAGCATTTCACAGGCTCATTCACCTGCTGTGCTGAAAGCGGACTCCAAGTAGCAGGTCCAGTGGGGAGCCAAGGCAATGGCAGGGACAGAGGAGAGAGGATGCTCATGAGAGAGGTGGCGAGAAGTGGTTTGGTTTTAAATTATTTTGATGGTAGAACCAAAAGGATTTGCTGATGGCTTGGAGGAGGAAAGAAAAAAGTCATGCCAAGGCAGGCTGAGCAGAACCGCCTAGTTCAATGGCTTGGACTGTCCCCCAGCAGACCCCAGCATCCGAGATGAAGACACGGAAGAGGCCAAGGATGGAGCAAGATGGTTGAGGGCACAGGCCATGGGCCCCGTGGATTATGTCAGGTAGAGAAGGATGCAGATACAGAGCTGATGCCCAGAGGGAGTGGTGGAGCCAAAAGACCTGGGGGCTGAAGGACAGATCTGATGGAGGGAAGTACAGGAGGCTTGAAAGGAGGTTGTGTTCACCATATGTGGTGTTGGGATTTACTGTTTCAAAGCTGGAGAAGGTTTCAGACAATGACTGACTCTTGGCAGCTGGGGGGCGGGGTGGGGTGGTTCTAGTCTTAAAGAGGTCTTTCATATGGACAGTGAATTCACCCAAAATAGTGATGAGAAATGAAGTGGAGAATGAACGAGATGCCAGGTTTTTCCACGGATGTAGAAGAATGGCCAGGAAGTGAGCTGGGGGAAATAGGAAGAGGCAGGTGAGTTTTTAAGGTGGGGGGACTCTTACATATATACACAGAGAACAGTAAATTGTTTGCAGGAGGTCAAGAGAGGCTGAGGGACTGGGGCATGGGAGGATTCCTCTGTGTGGACGAATGCTTCAGGCAAGTTTCTGCCAACACAGGGACACGGAGGCAAGGAAGAGTGTTTGCCAAGGTCAAGGATAAAGGGAGAGTTGTTTGCCATATTACTGGTCCCAGAGGAAGCAAGGAAATTCTTGAGAGAATGAATTCATATAGAGCAGTGGTTCTCTAAGCTGCAGCAGCATCACCTTGGAACTTGTCAGAAAGGCACATTCTCAGGTTCCATCTGAGACCTACTCAATCAGGAACTCCAGAGGGAGCCAACAATCTGTGTTTTCACAGGCCTTCCAGGTGGAGAATCAAGTTTGATTCCTGAGGTTGAGAGTCACGGGTGTGAAGGTAGCACAGACCAGCCTGGGGAGGGGCTGCACAGGGAGGGTGGACGGGCTGGGGGTGGGAGAGGGGACCTCGTGGTGTAGACAGTGCCAGGAATGACAAGGATCATTGCCCTCAGGTTTTCATAGGGAATTCTGTAGTCAGTTACTTTACTGTGGGGACCGACTAACGTCTCAGCCCTCCCCACCCAGGAACTAATGAAAATGGTGACTTAGGACTTCCGTTCGGGGGATTTTTGTTATAGCATCAAGGGAGGTTTTAGGTAGTGTGGATGCCTCCCAGGGTTCTCATTTCATAGTAAATTTTGTAGCCACTGCTGGGGTATAAGAAAGCTTCCTTCTGCCCCGGAGTCACTCCTCTCATTCAAATAAGACTATTTGCCCCAGTCTCTTGGACTCCCATGTTTCAGTGTCTCTCTCATGGCATTGGGGAAAGCATGATCTCCTGGAGAACGAGTAACAATTAATCATCATCATAAATAATAATAATAAAATAACATCTCCTGGTTGTCTGGTTCTCCTCTCAACTCATCTTACTCCAAATACTGTGGCTTATTTGCTCTTTTCAAATACACAGCCCAGAGGCTGGGAGCTCTCTGCTGGCCTTGCTTCTCCCTGGCGTGCTCTTCCCCACAGAGTCCTGCAGCTCATCTCCTCCCTTCCTCCCTCCAGCTCTCGGCCCCAGGGTCGTCTCTTCAATGAGACCTATCACGGCTACCCTGCTTAAAATCTCAGTGTCCTACCCAACACTCCCATGCTTCCTTCTCCTGCCTGACTTCCTGCCACTTCCTCACAGAGGATATTGTATTGGTGATGTATATTGCTTCCCGAAATGCCTCCTCTCACTAGACTGTAAGTGCCTCAAGGGTGAGGAATTTTGTCAGTTTCTCCCCGCGGTAGCCCAAGTGCCTAGAAAAACATCGAGCCCGTGGTAAGCCCTCAGGAAAAATTGTATTGAGTGAATGAATAAAGGTATGTTTCTTGGGTCCAGACATTGTGCTGCAGAAAGGCTTTACATTTAATGTCATTTTTAGTCTCACCCTAATCTTGGAAGGTGTATATCATTCACCATCATTGAACAGAAAAGGAAACTAAGACCCAGAGGGGTTAAGTAAGTTGTCCAAAGCCACACAGCTGGTGTGGTAGAGCCCACCTTCATATATGTCATGGCGTCAGTTCTTAACCACCCTCTGGGTCTGAGGGCTTCAGTCCCCACCCTGATGGTTTATTCTGCTGCCTGAGAGGTACTGCCTCCCTTCTAATAACTAATAACTCAGCTTTCCTTTTCCATGATGGGGCCACGTCTGTAGACTCCCCGCCATCTCTCCACGTGCATTTTAACTATTCCTGAACATCATGTATTTTAAAGACAGGGAAGACAGACCCCTATTTTGGATAGCCCAAGACTTCTATGAAGCTGAAAACTGGGTAAAATGATAACTAAAAATACCTTGTGTTCTTTTCCATTCTCTGAGTTAGTGACTTCCTGAGATGCCGTTTAAGCTAATGAAATAATATCTCTAAATTTTTGCAGTGGAAATAGGAGGAACCAGAAATACTCATGCACTAGGAACCTAGCGTATATCCTTCTGAATATAGCATCCCATTTACTGATGTCGGCTTGTAAGCACACCCCGGAGTTAGATTATCTTGGTTTTAGGAGGTTTATGGTGGCTCCCGGGCCTTTCCCACCTGGTCTCAGGCACATGTGCTGCTGCTAGTGGGAAGCATCAGCCTTCTCTAGCTAGATATTACCGTTGTGTTATGAGAATAGTAAATACTCCGGAAAACACATCCTCAGCCGTCTCTGTTCCTTGGCAGGGATAGTTATAACCAGGGCCCGGGGTCTGGGATGCTATTCCCATCACTAGAAATAGGAACAGAGAGGCATCAATGAAAAGCCTGGGAAAAGGAACCCCAGACCTTCCTATCTGGGTTCTGGTCTGATCGCCCACATTTTTCCTCCCCTGGTCTTTCATCTCTCAGTACATGTACTACTCCTCCAGTTGAAAACAACACAGCTCTGAGAATAGTCTCTCTGCTTCTGTCTGTCTCAACTCTGGGAACAAGAGGTCCCCTGCATACTTACCAGGACTCCCTCTTACTTGGCATCTATGGGCCAACGAGGACAAGTCCTCTACGAGAAATAGTCACCCCGGATTTGCATCCCGCAAGACTCTGCCTCCTATATCTTCTTAAATTGGCCAAGCACTACCATCCCCTGAGCACTGGTACAAAAGAGCAGTGGAAGATAGACATGGTTTTAAATCTTGACTCCAGCCCACATTGGCTATATGACCTTGGGTAGGTGACCTGGCCTCTCTCTGAATGTCCTCGTGTGGAGGAGAGGGACATTCATATCCATCTTGCTGTGTTGGTATGAGGATTGGAGTTCACATATGTGAAGTTCTTGATAATCAGTAGGCCATTAATAAGTAACTGGGGATACCATAGATCTTTATGTTCTAAGGCACCATCCACTTTATCTCTTGATCCTATTTTAACAACCTGAGAATTTAAAAATCTTGAAAATCTAAATGGATTTCTGAACCAAAGTTATTTATAATGCAGTTAAAGTGCTGGCTACAAGAGTTTGGTTGCTAAAGGATTGGTAGAGCCTGGGATGGAGAGATATCACTGGAAAGATCATGAATTACATTCATTTAACTAACATTTTTTTAATCTACTATGTTGTTTGGCCCTGTGCTAGCCACTCAGGACATGGTAGAAGTAAGCTCCCGTCCTCATAGGCAATGGGCAAGATAGAAAAGTAAGGAAATCATTGCAGTGTCTGGACAGAGTAGGGGTAGAAATTTTCTCCCTTCCAACCCAGAAACCCCTGCAACAATGACTTTGTAATTACCAACAGCCCAGAATTCACTTGGAACTGTGACAAGGAATCAGGTTGCTATGCCTTTTGGCTGACCAGGGGGTCAAGCGGGCAAAGTGCTGGCTTGGGAACCTATAGACTTAGTTTCTTCATCCCCAGATTAAACACTGGATCGGAGGCAGAGTTCTGCTCTACAGATCTCAGTTCCCAGCTGTTGAGGAAGGAAATGTGAACAAATCTACTCTCTGACAGGTTTAATATGAAAACATTTAATGATAAAGTGCTTCAAGCTCCATGGGAAAAAATGCCAAGGCTATACAAATTCATTGCCACTTTGCCACATCACCAAGTTCGGTGTTAGCAATGTACGCCTTGGAGGAGAAATCTAAGAGTTATAAATTAAACTGAAAGATTACTCATTTGGAGTGCAGGATGTACTGGATTCTGCTTCTGTGTCACCACCCATCTGCAAGCTCGTCTTCGTACCTGGTCTGGGCAGCCCTAGCGAAGGCTCTGCAGTCCTGCAGTAAGTGGGGGGGGGGGCGTTGCTTTTGGGACTGCGGCCACTCCTGGTTCTTCACGTTGCTCAAGCATCACCTCACAGTGCTTCCCTCCATCCCTGAGCCAAATTTCTGCCCCCCTAGGCTTCCCTGTGCCTTTGTAGGATCCACTGGGTACCCCGGCATATATGACCTGGAAGTGCAGGGTAGCTAATGCCTCATGCGGGGCAAAAGTGAAAAGTCCCCACAGAGCAACCAGAGAGGGGAGCTGAAGATAAATCTTCCATCCCCCCCTTGGATGGCCCGGTGGGGGTCCAGCAGCTTCCTCCCCTGCAAGGCGTACCACCTGCTCCTTAGCACGCCCTCTGCACCCCCCTCAGCCTCCTTACTCACCTCTTTTCCTTCTGTCCTCCCTCCAGCGTCCCCGGGACTGCACTTGCCAATAAAGTATTCCTCTGACATCTTTTTGCCACAGGCGCTGTATTTTCAGGAAACATGGGTAAAGACAAAGAATATTATAACTGAAGTTGACCTCAGAGATATTTATTTGAAGGTTTTCATTTTTTAGAAAAGAGAGCAACAACCAATGGGGCTGAGATAAAAGTGAGTTACTCAAACCACAGTCTCCAGGCTTCAGGTTCAGTATTCTTTAAGCAACATCACACACACATACACACACACGTATACGTGTAAATATGATATGCACACGTCTCCATACATGTACACACATATATGTTGTGTGTATATATACATGTATTTAAAATGCTACTTATTTGCCTTTTCTGCCCTCCTCAGAAATAGCAGACAAGATCTACAATCTCTTCAATGGCTATACCAGTGGGAAGGAGCAACAGACGGCCTATAACACCCTCCTGGATCTGGGTTCCCCTACCCTACATCGAGTCCTCTACCACTATAACCAGCACTATGAGAGTTTTGGAGAATTCACCTGGCGGTGTGAGGACGAATTAGGCCCCAGGTAACACAAACACCATTGCCTTTTATAAAGACGTCGGCTCTTTGCAATTCTGTACACTGTCATACTGCATCCATGGATTCACAAAGATTTCCTGGGTGAGCTTAGGTGCTCCGAGAAGTAAGTCCTGTGATTTTTATACAGCTCAGTTCATATAGATTAGTTTGGATAAGCTGTATTTAAGTAGGGAAGTCATAAATACATTTCCTGAACTCTGAAAAAAATCTTTGCCCTTGACCTGTTTTACCCACCTCTTTGTCATGCTGACACAAATGCTAAAAACGGTAGGAGCTGTGAAAGAAAATTAGGAATTTTATTAAACAGGTTATCGTTATCCAAAACTATTTATTGTGTATGAGCTTTGCATATACAATATGCATTATATAGACATGTTTTAAGCTAAATTGCACATCCTTTGGAAAGACAACGTGGGGGTGGCCAAGATCCACCTTGACATCTATGTTGGCCAAAGTTAGGACAGTATAGTGTTTCCCAGAGTTCCCTGGCCCCAAGGCTATGACTTTTCAATACTCAATACCCACTGCTTTTAGGTTCTACAACACAGATAGCATTCTTGGAAAGAGGAATTGGAAGAATGTGTACAGGTACCACCTTCCTTTTGTTTCATTCATCATGGCTACATACTCCTGCTCTGAGAAAAACATTTTGGTGGAAATGCTGGAATTATCAGACAGATTCAGTGAAAGAGCCTTCCTTGAATTATTTAGGAATTCATAAAGAAAAAAAAAGGGGGGGAGTGCATGGACTATTTTTAGGGGGGAGAAAAAGGAAAGCAAATGAAGACAATCAACACAATGGAATTCTCTGGCACTTAAAGAATTCTTGCACTCCTGCCAAGAGGCTGCCCGAAAGTATCACCCAAAAGTTGTTCCATCTATCTGACTGCTGATCGAACTGGAGGGAGACCCAGTGTCAGTGTGCTTCTTGTCACCTGAAATTATAAACTCTCCAGAAGACCATTGTTCAGGACATTCCCAGGACAGGAAATTCTCTTACTTTTGAAAGGAGGAGAAAGTTTAGGATTATCTTCCGAAATGTAATGATTTCATGTGTAAGTTTAGGAAGAATCTCTTTGCATTCCATAGATTATTTCCTGCAGTTATTATAAAGGTTGATAGTCCTCAGGCAAACAGATGCCATGGCTGTGGACCAGGACACAGAGGGAAACATATAAGGGACTTTTCACTGGCTTTGTCTCAGTTTCAGGAGAAAGCAAACCCTGGGTTACAAAGTAGATATGTATTAAGATATGTCCTCTCTGTTCCATACCTTATTACTCCTGTCCTCGTAATTACTTATGCCTAATATCCCCTCTCTCTGCTTCTCTCCCTAGCTCCCTTTCCCCCCACCTGACTCTGCCCCCCCCGCTACCCCCCTTCTTTTCTCCCTCCTTCTGACATTTATTGAGTGTATATATACAGTTTTCGGTTAGGGAACATAAATGTCACAATTTGAATAGCACTAACATTGCATATATCATCTTGATTTCCAAGGGCATTAGGATTGCTTTTAAAAATTTCTCTCTTGTAACTCAAGAGTCAGAAGGAAAATTCGTTAATAAAGAAAGTGAGCAGGGGAAGAAGTGTGGATCTCCCTGAAAAGTAAGGCGTGCTGCTGACTTGACATTCTCTTCCCAGACTCTTCTCCCTGGAGACCCTGGCATGTGTGATGCTGGTTTTTCAAGGCTCTGTATTAAAAGACAGTGTGTAATTTCATTAGCTTCTGGAAATCAAGTTTTACTTTCCAGTGTCATGGGGAGAACCGCAGGAAAGGAAAAGCCCTCTGCCTTGAAATGCATCCACCACCTTTGGAGTTGGTCATGAGCGTGAACAGAAAAGGTTCTGTGGGCTACACACTCCCTGGGAGCGGGCAGAAAGGACCCCCTCAGTTCAGTTAAATCCATTCCCTTAACTTTCATGGAGGCCTGCAGATCGACTTGAGGGTTGAAATACTTTGACAACAACACTGGTTGTGTTGCTGCTAAGAAAGAAGAAATCCACAGGCTCTGAGATGATCAAGTGCAGACCCAAATTAATTATTTTTTTTAAAGTGACCTATGAAAGTAACCACAAAATCTCCATGGGCTAATCAAATCCTTTCTTTTCCTGTGTCCTTGTCTTGAGGATGATGCACATGCTGCCCTCATTCTGCCTTTGCTCCCTCTCCCTCCACCTTCCAAGAATTTGTCAGCAACTAATGACATGTAGTGGGATAAATTAAGAGGAAGGGCCACCAAAGTCCTGTTGATGACGACTTTTGGAAGCCTGCTTGGCCAAACCACAGAGGCAAATAGGCGGAGGAGAGACCATCTGCAGGAGATGCTATGTAGGTGGAAGGCAGAGTGTTTGACTTCCTCTGACCCACCACTGAAGTGGGAGAAAATACGACTGCCCTCCGATAACCTCTCACTCTCTCCGCCCCCGGACTCCGCTGCTGAATCTCCACACCTTTCCTCCAGGGTCATCTCTGCCCCTCTCAGGGCGTCCTCCCAGGAATGCGGTGAGGTCACCCCCTCGTGGTGGTGGTCACGGCCAGACAGAAGGGGAGGAACGAAATGAATGTGCTCATTGTTCTTTGAAAGGTCATTCTCCACGGAGTGCAGAAACTTCCATTTTCTGGAAAGAATCAGTGACCGAATTAGAAAAGAGTTGGTTCTTCACATGAGAAGTTAGCCGAGCAGCGGATAAATACTGCAAGGGATGCTGTTCATTGAGCTTTTTCAGAACTGCATTTTACAGGAGCTCATTCAAAGAAGAGAGACTTTGTGGCTCTCTGGGCACTTAGGGGTTTGAAGAACAGGAGGGACGGAGCTGAGTGAGGGAGGGAACGCTGCTCTGTCGCTCAGAGCCGGTGAGGTCTGACAGCTGGACGACAGGAGCCCCTGTCTCTGACACTGGCAGTGGGCACAGGGAAGAAAGCTGTGCACCAGCAAGACGACTGTGGGGACAGCCGACTTCCCCAGGCTGCACACAGAGACCATCGGCTCTCCTGTTGGCCCGGAGGGATCACTGCGCCCCAGCATGTGCGAACTTGGAGCGACCTCGCTCTCCTCCGCTTCTCTTTCCCCCTGGCGATCTGCGACAGCCCTCCTCTTTCCCCCTCTCTGGATTGGGTCTCAGTGGCCATGGCCGCCTGGCTTTCCAAGGGAGAAGGCAGAGTGGAGCAGGGGACCACCTGAACACGAATCAGGTCATGTGGGCCTCTGAGAGTGTGCGTTTCCCCCCAGAAGGGCCCTGTGTCGGTGCGCACAGAGGGCATTGTTGTCTTCACCCATATTTCGCTGTCGCGCCCTCCATCCGGGCATAATTAGTTACATTTGATACCCTCCAAGGCTCAGTATATCAGCTGTTTCTGCTTAGTTCTAAAATAGCCTGGAAAAGGGAAATATTCACTCAAACACATTATTTGTCATTTAATGATGGTAAATTGCTGGCTGTAAAGAAAATGGATTTGATTTGTCTTTCAAAACTGCCAACTCTATGATTTTAAAAGGGCATAAATTCCCACCAAAATAGTAGTTATTTTCTTTTCTTTATTTTTCCCTTATGGCTTTTTTTTTTTCTCTCTTTTGCTTGGGTGCCTGCCCCACTTTGCACAGCCAGACTGTTCTTGCATCCATCCGTCCATCCATTTGCTAGACAGGTATTTATGAGTTCTGAGTGCCCATGATAGAACAGGAAGCAGGACACACCAGACTCTGCCCTCTGGGAGTTTTAAGTCTCACTCTAATAGTGCCTATGCGCCTTTCCCAGCCTTCTCTTCTTTCTAATCTAAGTATCCTCCGTGCTCAATCCATAGGAAAGCTGGCCTCATCCTTTCCCAGCTGGGGGAGCTCAGCAGTTGGTGCAATGGCCTCCTTCAGGAACCCAAGATAAGTTTGCGACGAGGCTCCCTTAAGTACCTGGGCTGCCGCTACAGCGAGATCAAGCCCTATGGACTCGACTGGTCAGAGCTCAGCCGGGACCTCAGGAAGACATGTGAAGAGCAGACCCTGAGCGTCCCTTACAACGACTATGGGGACAGCAAAGACATCTAGCACCACGAGGCCAGACGTGGCTGCCAAAAGGAAGCAGGAAGCGAGGAGAGGAACATCTGGGTTGGTCTGTGGATTTTTAGTATTTTTTAATGGAACATTAAAACCTCTAAACCAGGGAGAGGCAATATCTAAACCAGGGAGAAACTGATCCTTGCTCCCTGTGGAACTTCTTTGGTATGATGTTCTCCATCTGCATGATCAGTAGACCTGCCAACCAGCAGCCTCATGCAGTGCCATTTCTCTTTAGGGGATTACTTTGGGGCTTGTTTTATAGCTCATTTGTTTCATTTATTTATTTTTTTTTTTTCCCAAGAGGTTCATCACAATGCTCAAGAGTTCTGCCATGCTTCCCATGAAAGGTCTATCAGGTTAAGGCATCCTGGGCTCACTGAATCCCTGAGTCCATTACAATTCGGGACAGAAATGAGGCCAGAATGTCGCCAGACTGGCCTCAGGCCCCAGCCACAAGCATTCCTCAGGAAGCATCTCACTCTGGGAGCCTAAGCTCTGCTCACAGAGAAAGATGACAATGGGAAAATCGGGAGGGTGGCCTCTGTGTAGCCCTCATGGTCCTCCCCCCGCCACCCCAGGCCTCCCTACTGCTCGATTCACACCTCATAGGTGAACTGAGCCTCCAATACGGGTCCCAGCAAGTCGTTGGGATTTTTAGGTCCTCACCCATTTTAAGACAGGATTGGGATGAAATCTCCCTCTGGCTGATCTCTGCCTCTCCTCCAAACAGTGTGAGATCTTTAAGAGGAAACAAAATGCTACCTGTCAAATGCACCTTCCAAACGGTCTATCTGGGAGACTAGTTAGCAGTCACATTCTAGAGAAGAAGTAGGGCTGATTGCTCTAAAAACTCCTGTACCTCCAGGATGAACTTCTCCAGACCACCAATGCATCACATGCCTGGATTCTCTTTAGGATGCCCGCGTCAGTCTCCCGGGACAACGCCTGCTCCTGACCACCATGTCAGGGTTTCAGTGAACTAAAACAATTACTGATCACACACACACAAAACTAACGTCCATTTCTCCCTTCCTAAATTTCCTTAATTATTTTGCTGGTTTTGCAAATGCTTTGTTCTTGTAGGCGAGCCCCCTGATGGCAAGTAGGGGCATAGCCCTTTCTTCTGCCCCGCAACCCTAGTGTTGCTGTCACAAGCAACACTAAGTGGTGTAAGTGGTGGCCCAGCTAATAGGAAGCCCAGCCCTTCTGCAAGAGCTGTGAGGGCCATGTGGCCCAGCAATGGCCTTAACTGTCCCCACACGCCTCAGAGGCCTGAACACACACCTTCAGCCACCCTGCCTTTGACCAGGGCTCCTCATCTGGAAACACAAGAGAAAGGTCAGGAAAGAGATGCAGGATCTATATGGAACTATACTGATTTTTTTCTAAATAGTAATGACAGATCACATTCACGAAGTACTCACTATATCCTTGATGCTGCTTGGGCACTTCGCATGTCGCTGAATCCTCATGACATCCTCCCCCGCCCACTGCCTCCCCTCCCAGCCCCACCACCAAGGAAGAGCTATTCCTGGCTCCATTGCAGTGATGGGGAACCGGAGGCAAAGAGCGGTCATGCAACTTGCCCCAAATGCCCCCCTGAGCTCTGCCTGGGCCGCGATAGGGATTCAGGCTGTCGGACTCTGGAGTCCTCTGCCACCCTCAGCCCTGGGCCAGTTTGCCTGTGGCAGGCAGCTGTCCCATCCGTAAGCTCCACAGGGACCTGCCCCACCTGGGACAGATGTGCCCGCGGTGCACCCTTCACTCTGCAGCTGGAGCACCCTTCGGGAGCACCAGGTCTGCAGCGTGAGCCCTCCCCTGGGGCCTGGGAGTGGAGCCTGGGGGCAGACTGCAGGCCACCTGGCTCCCCTCCCCATGTCTTTCCATAAAAAGGCTGAAAGATTTGTCTGGCATTCTGGAATGTACCTGCCTCAGAAATGCCTCCACTTCCAGATCGGAGGCTAGCAGAAACCTCGGCCATGCCACCCATGGTCAGGGTAAGGCCTCGGGTAAAGCACCTAAAGGGACATCCCTGACCTTCCCCAGAGAGGACGATGCCACAGGCAGCTGGAGCCCAGCCAGTGGGCAAGGCCAAGGGAAGAGCTGTCTGTGCTGCCCCCACCGTCTTGCCCCCCAGATTCAAGTGTGCCCACAAAACGGGCTCAATGCAGCGTGGTGGGAGCCCAGGGCCACGCTGCCCTCCTGCCCCATGGCGGGGGGAGACCAGAGCCGACGGGCTGCCGCGGGAGGACAGGGACTGGCGTCAGGGCCACCTTTCTCCGTCCCCTTCTTCTGTTTTATTAAAATCAAGGAGGCTCATTCTCTCCCCCGAGCCCCTCCAGGTTTCATCTATTTTATCTTTTTCTTCTCCAGTCCCACCCTTCCTCCTTCGCCCCTTCCTTCTCCTTGACCCTCTTCCTCCTCCTCTGTCCCCTTGTGTCCTCCTTGTGGCCCGTGTGCTTGCACGCACACACTACACACACACTATTATGTACATTACACATACCTGCATTATACACAACACACACACATTGCACACATGCACGGCACACACACATTGTATGCGCCTACACTGTACACACAACACACATTATACACACACATTACACGGACTGTACACACGTACATTATACACACACAACACACACACATTACACCACACACACAACACATTACACACACACATTATACACACTATACACAGTATACATACATTTTACACATGTTACATACACTGTAACACACACTGTGTTACATACGTTACACATACATGTACTACTCACATATATTACACACACACTATACACACAGGCTCTATGTCTGGGTCCCATCTACTTTCAGGTGAAAAGTAAGGCCAATATGAATGGCGCAGGAGACAGTCTTTTAAGTTGCCCTGAGGATTTAACTGCAGGATTTGGCCCTGGGAAGACACCATCCATCAATCACACCCTGATGACATTTCCTAAAGCTTGCCTGGAGGGACCCATCCTGACTAGAAAGGGTAACAGCACTGGGCCAGTATTAAACCTCAAATATCCAAGCTGCCAAACAGGTCTTAGGGAGTCACTTGTACCCACCACATGCCCCCAGCTCTGGGCTTCCCACGAGACCATGGTGTTTCCTCTTGAATGTATGTGACCCCCGGAACAGCATTAAACCTTCAACTGAGTGTATGACCATTTTCCACAGAGTTTGCTCCATTTGTTATTTTTAGTTAAGCACACTTCTCGATATTCAAATGTTCTATTAAAAAACTGAGTGTGAAAAAAATCCACTTTACTACTGTAGAAGGAAGAACGGATATAATGTGACCAACTTCAGGTGTAACAGTATTGTTTCAAAGAGAATTATTGTAGGATTATAAAAACAAGGAATAATCAACTAAATAATAAACAAAGCTGTTAGTAAGTGTCAGGTGTGCGAATGTTACCTTGTATCTTTTGAAAATCAGAGTGATCTGGTTGGACCTACTGGGAAACTATCCCTGTTTTAAATGTTCCACCTTTGGGAGGCCTGGGTGGCTCAGTGGGTTAAGCGCCTCACTTTGGCTCCGGTCATGATCCCAGGGTCCTAGGATCGAACCCCGCATCGGGCTCTCTGTTCAGCGGGGATCCTTGCTGCTCCCCCTGCTTGTGTCCTCTCTCTTTTTCTCTCTCTCTGACAAAAAAAATAAATAAATAATCTAAAAAAATAAATAAAATGTTCCATCTCAGATGCCAAATAGGCCTTATAGCCTGTCATCTTAAAAAAAAAAAAAAAAAAAGGCTAAACACCTCACAGCAAATTGTATTATGTGGGAGTGGTTCTCGTCTCTATCCCCATCCAGATAATTAGCTGATGAAATCTATTTATTGCATATCTGCTGTATTTCACACGCCATGCACAGTGCCGAGGGTATGCTGGTGAGTAAGACAAGTTTGTTCTTCATCACAGAACCTGGCGTTTTATGGGGTAAAGGGAGACATTGAGCCCATTATTACCAGGCTGAAGAGAACCATGGCCGAGAAGTACAGGATGATGGGAGGCAACAAAATTTCTCTTTGGGCGTCTAAGGCAAATGTTGCAAAAGGCCCTCCCTGACACCTTCCTGTCTCGTACTCTGTGGAAGCATTTGGGATAGGCTGGCTCTTATGAAATGCTGCATGCTGGGCAGCCCAAGCACTCAATTGCTTTTTTTCCTCTCTACCATGTAACTTTAAATAGCTATTCTCTCTGCTGCCCCCAAAACATGTGATTCCCTTTGTCCTCAAAACCCAGAGATGAAGTGCCTGCACACTCAGTAGGCCTTCTTGCCAAGTAATGATGAGAGTGCTTTTCCCCACGCAAGCAGGAGCTAGTCAAAGGTGAACACTGTGGCAGTTCTAAAACATGACCACAAATTCTTTGAAACCCTTCCCCTCTGGAAGTGTGTTCTACTGCCTCTCCCCTTGAATCTGGGGAGGTTGGTGACTGCTTTAACCAATAAATGTTGTTGGAAGTGACACTGGGTGACTTCCCAGCCTGAGTCAAAAAGGCCTTGGGGAGCGCCTGGGTGGCTCAGTCGTTAAGCATCTGCCTTCGGCTCAGGTCATGATCCTGGGGTCCTGGGATTGAGTCCCACATCGGGCTCCCTGCTCAGCGGAAAGCCTGCTTCTCCCTCTCCCACTCCTGCTGCTTGTGTTCCTGCTCTCACTCTCACTGTCTCTGTCTCTGTCAGATAAATAAATAAAATCTTAAAAAAAAAAAAAGGCCTCGGGGCTTCTGCCTCCTTCTCTGGAACTCTGGCTCGCAGAGCTCTGAGCCATCACATAAGAAATTTGAGGCCACCATGCTGGAGAGGTCACATGGAAGCACCGTGGTCCACAGTTCCAGCCAAGCCAGCCTTCTAGACATTCCTGCTGAGGCACCAGACACGTGACTGAAGCTGGCTTGGACCCTCACGATCAGTCTCTCTGCCAGTTGCATACCACCCAGCAGCTTCTATCAATGTCACATGGAAGAGAAGAATCACCCTGCCAAGCCTTGCCTGAATTCCTGACCCCAGTATTATGCAACAGAATAAGACAGTGATTGTTTTAAGCCACTAAGGGGGTCTGCTA